CTCTCTCTCTCTCTCTCTCTCTAGCACTGTCAGATTACACTCTCTCTCTCTAAGTCCTCTCTCTCTAACACTATCAGATTGGATTCTCTCCCTAACACTTTATCTCACTAAAATCTGAATCCTCTGTTCCTTCTCTCTCTGCAAATGAGAATGAGGGAGAGTGGCAGGAAAGACAGAGATGCTAGTGTCATATGACTGAACCAACCACATCTTAATCTCCACCACCCTTACATCTAAGATCTTTAGCCAATCTGAGACGTCCGATATTTCGAAACAATGTAAACCGTCCGATTTAGAAAATTTTCATTTTCCTCCCATAATTAGTGGAAAACTATTTGATGAATCAGCCTTATCCAAAGATGTTAGTTTCGATCCTGAAAGGTTCGGTAGATCTAAATTTATAACTTTTTTTTTCAGAAAAATATAAATGCTTTTTTAATTCCTTTTTGCCATCTTTCATTCTAATTTAGTTGAAGTTTCAATAAAGCCTCACCTCAAATTCTCGTTCATGCCACGAAAATCGTGATGATAGCTCTATAATCAATTTTCAACACCAACAATAAAATTTGAAATTCAAAAAAAAAAAAATCTTGAAGATGTGTAAACACTTATTTTCTTAAAATGTGTGGACGACCTGAATAATTTGTTATAATATACACTATTTTTAGAGCTTGAAATTCTTTTTTTTTTTTTAACAACCATAATGTTCAAGTCGAGAAGATCGATGTAAAGGTTTTCCAATACTTGACTTTACAATTTTCGATGAGTATTGTGGTGAGGATTTACTTATTTTGATTGGGGTGCAGCCCTATCAAACCATTTACCTTTAATTTTAGTGGAACAGTTTTTTTGACATCCATATTAGAAATGGAGGTTTAATAGAAAAGGCGCCGCATGATAATAGGTGAGGTGGCTGACTCTTCAAAACTGTATACGTCTTTGTCTCTACTCTCCATCAGTGTTTTGTGGTCCAACATGCCCAACATTTCAAAATTCTTTGTTTCTAACAATTTAAACTTTCTTGCTTCAATAATTCCACCATTTTTCTGTTAATGGTAAAGGGATTTGCAGTTTATATAGGGTTAAAAAACAAAATAAAATATTACATGTAAAGTTGGTTCAGTGTTACTAAAGAGGGTTGGTGAATATCTCGCAATAATATTGAAATTAATTTTGTTAATCAGATCTCCATGTGTCTTTTGAAGGTGAGGCTTAGAAATATTTTGATTCAACCATTGAGGGGAGCTCTAAAATTCAAATTTTGATGGGTCTTCTCTTGAAAATCTGAGAAAGGCAAGAGGTGTGCAGAGATACTAACGGTAATTATATCTTTTGTTTTGCGGCCCCTTAGGATATAGCTACAACCAGGGTTTTAAAAAACGCCGAGTCGAACCGGACTCGCCCGGTTCGACTCGGAAATCGTGAAAAGGGATCGGATCGCCCAAAAAA